GCTGGAAACAATTTGTAAGTTTTCGGGTAAGACTATTTCTGCATTGGCATATGACAAAGTGATGAAAGGGAAAGGTGTAAGTTATGATATGGAATTTTATTGTTTGTTAAAGAGATTAAAGCTTAACGTTAATGTGGAAATTTTTTTGTGGAGACTTAGTAAATTTGCTATTCCCACTAACCATTTTTTAAAATTCCGAAGACTAGAAGATGAAAATCGATGTACTAGAGGTTGCCAAGTGCTGGAGAATTATGATCATATTATTCTTCATTGCAAATATCTTCAAGATATTATCAGCAAAATCCGTGAATGGGGGTTTTGTATTCCTGTTTTCAACTCTTTGGAAGGTTGTTTAGAAGAAATGAGAAGATGTTCTGGTAGCAAATCTGCCTGGATCAGGCTTTATTGTGTGGCTGTATTCCTGAACTGGAAAAACCGTAATTTTGTAAAGCATGGTAAAGCAGCTATGCCATGTTCTTCTGTGGCTGCAAATGTGCTGTCTCTTGCCATTTTAAAATCTTCTCCTTATCTAGTAAACTGGGGTGCTAATCTCCTAAGAGAGACTTATAGTACTTGGCGCCCCCCTCCGCTAGATTGGATCAAGATTAATGTGGATGCTTCCTTATTGAGCTCTTATAGAGGTAGTATAGGTGGCATGTTCATAGATTATAAAGGTAGACTTCTTCTTGTTTTTGGAAGGAATAAGACGCATTGGGACATTGCCCAGCTTGAGATGGAGGTGATTGTGGAGATTAGCGAGCTCATACAAGGTTGGATGCTTGAAAGTTTAGGTGTTGTCATTGAAAGTGATAATGCCAATGTGATTACATTCTTACAAGATTCTTTGAAGAAAGTTGATTGGCACTTGGATATTGGCCTGGCCAAAGAACTTTACTTTCCTTAATGACTTCAATAAAATCATTTTCCATCATGTGAATAAGGAATGTAACAAAGTAGCGAATTTTTGTGCTACTTTAGCTTTGGATGGTAACTTTACTTTTGATAGTTTCTCTTTAGGTAACATTCCGACTCCTTTGATTAATTTGATCAAGGACGAGATGTTACCAATGTAGTTTGTATCTAGGTTTGTTCCCTTCTTTCCTTTAATTGCATTGCTTTTGCACGGTTTCAAAAAAAAAATATTAAAACTAATCCACTAACTAAATTAACTAAAAGTAGACCTCAATTTATTAATAATAAAACTTTAATCAAATTCCCCTTTTTAAACCTTCAATAAATGTTAATACGAGACAACTTGAATTAACTATTCGACATAAGACATATCCAATGCCACACAAGCCTACAACAGACACGTAGGATTGCTATGGCACCACTTCTAGCCCTAGGATTAAGGCCGGTGTTTTACTTTTTTCTGTTTTTGTGATGTGATGCTTTTGTAAATGGCACGAGTGCTGATTTATTTGATTTTTCTGGTTTGTTGTGATGATTTTTATTTCATTGTTGTGCTTTCTATATTTTGCTTATGATATGATTTGGGTGATATATTACTCATGGGCTAAGAACACTTTTGTTATTAATGATATCTTATGCAAGTGGTCATACTCATACAGGACATTGATTAAAGGGGACACAAAAATAATTAAGTTTTAAAATTAACGATGTCTTCTGCAAGTACTTCAAAATGCTAAACCACTTTAAATTATAAGAGTATGGCCACATGTGATTGGCAATGAGTATTTTATTTATCATATATAACTGCTTGGGATATTCTTAGTTAATTGCTTAAGATAATCATACAAGAGAGTCTAGATTTTTTCTTTTACATGATATAATCTAATGTAATAAATACCGAGTTGTGAAAGTCTTAGTTAATTGCTTAAGATAATCATGCAAGAGAGTCTAGATTTTTTCTTTTACATGATGTAATCTGATGTAATAAATACCGAGTTGTGAAAGTCTTCAAAAACATAGCATTTCAAATATTAAGTACCAAAAAAGAGAAAGAAGGGCCCCCTTTCACGAAGTTTCTTTCTAATTTGGGTACCCTTCTGAAGGACGATCTGGAGGAAGACGATCCTATGAAGATGATCTGAAGGAAGACAATCCGGAGGAGGACGATCCACTTGAAAACAAAATATTAAAGACAAAATATCTTCCTTTTAAGACTTGCGTCATTCAGTAGGATTGGAATCAAAGTTGTTGTCGGTGACGCCTTGCCACCATTACTTTTCTACATAGTCTGAGTTATACTTATACGGCACTTGTCATGGACTATAGATTTTTTCATTTACTTTGTTAATTTATATTGATGTGTTTACTTTATGTACGCAGTAGAAATTGCATATTTTTAGGTTTCTTTCTTGCATGTGCTTGGCCTGATCTCACTAGGCTCTTTAGGAATAAAAATCTTTTATACTCGCAATTAAATTCTAAAATTTTAAGAAATAAATTACATAGAAAATTAATGACCTAGGGAATAGACGGAATCGTCCGGGGCTGCATGCATATTAATGCATTCTCTTTCCCCTTGCTATAAGATATTTCACCGCCTGCGGGTAGAGTCCGGATAATCTGGCCAATGAGGATGAGATGTCGGACATAGGGAAGCCCGATCGTTTTCTAAAATTTATTATTTACAAACCTTTTTAAGATTTCATGCATACTTGATTTGAAGCCTTTAACCAACATACATTGCATTAGAAATCAATTAAATAAAAATTTTAATTGCATTAGCTCTAGGAGCATTTATCTTATATAAGTACAAGGCCAACTAGGAAATTCTCTAGACATCAGCCTTACTTCCAAATAACTGATTTATCCACCCATCTTTCATAAAGACTGGATAGCATGAAGTTTACGTGCTTAGGTAGTTAGCTAGCTTTTCTTTTCAAGCAGGATATAAGTCTATGATGCATTAGCTAGGACATAGGTGTTAATGTTGAGTGTAGAACAATAAACCCACCTTAGATTTAGGGTTCAATGCTACTACATTCGGTATCTCGTGGTACGCCTCATCGGTGGGTAAGTCTCCTTCTTTTCAGGTGTTATAAATCCTACCTATTTGCGTCACATGATTGACGCCACCTCCATCATTGCCCTCTGTATGCTTTAAGTGCATGATTTCTTTTCTTCGGTCCTTCTTCGCTACTTAGTCCCTCCGGATATTGGTATGAACCGTGTATGTTGACTAAACCCACTTGAACCCTTTCTTCCCTTTGAGTAGAAACTTCCTAGGCTCCGCCCTCTGTGTCAATCCCCTTCGGAAAGTATAATGTCGGATCTTTAATCGAGAGTATTCTCGGGTTCGGATCTAAGATGTAATTAGCCACAAGGGCTTGCGCTCGTGAGAAATAGAATTCCACAACAAATAAACCCCACTCGAGCTGATGTATCGGATGGGGGAAATCTCGTGATAATGATTAGGTCATGCATATTATCATCCATCGACGTGCATTAGCAAAAGTCGTTATCCTCAATGATTGATCGTATGTGTGATCTAATATGCCTTCCCATTAGTCCGCTTGCGAAGAGCGTGAAGGCGTGCGATCGTCTCGTCCTTCAGGATAGTGCGGTCATATACCATTTACACTTTGTCCCCCGCACAGTGGATCCCTTTCGGAGGTCCACAATGACCCTCACTAGTTGAAGGGTTGTGCTCTCAATCAATGAGAATCCTTTTCCTCCTAGGAACCATCAATTTATGCTCATCACTCCAAAAAATGTTTGAACAAAACTCGCTAGTTGGATCAAAAGCATGGGATTACACCATGTCATGATTTGCATGAAGAATATTATAGAAAGAGAGGAGATAGAAAAATCATTAGCCTTCAAAGCTGACTACATGGATAGGGAAGAGAGAAGACAAAGTGAATGAATACAAAAGAGTAGGGAATGATAAAATTTGGGCAAACAACAAGCTACATAAGTTACTTACAAGAAGGCCGAGCAAGCTAAGTACCCACTTGAACAAACTTCAAGCTTTGCAACTTGCTCTAAGCAGCTTGAATTCTAAGAGCGGCCCCTTGTTCCCTAGGCAAGGGGTGCCTGAAGAGTTATGTTAGACCGGTCCAGTGGATCGAACCAACCGGTCCATGCGGGGCCAGCCCAGACGCGAAACAGCATAGTTTTCTCCGCCTACTGCGTATGCCATGCGAGCCGCAGGTCCACGGGAGCCAATTTAGGAAGGATTTTTGACGGTTTTGGGAGGGAAATTTGAATGTCGGGACTGTTTAAGGATTTAGCATGAATTTTGAGTTGAACAATATTTCATGTTGTCTTATTATTGAGATATTTGATTTCGCTTCATATCTTATGTTTTTTTATGTTTTATATTATTCACTCATTAGTATATAAAAAATTTATCATTTTATGTTTACGCAATCTTTTGATTTTGAGGCTTACGCCTCAAAACGCCTTGAGGCTTACGCCTCGCCTCACGAATGAAAAACGCCTCAATACCCGAATACGCAATTTTAAACATTGGTTCAATGTAATGGCCACGTCAGTCAATGGGTTGTGCCATAATCTTTAGGTCGCAATCTATAAACATCCTAACCACATGGACAAGTCAACTTGACCACAGCTAACCAAATGAGCCACCATAATCTTGGTGTACAAATACAACACTGGAGCTTAGCTAACGAACTATTGTTACAGTGTGAGATTTAATTTGATTATATGGTTGGAGGACAAAAATCACGAAAAAAGCTTTTGTTACCTGGAAAGTATTGGCAGGAGAACCAATAAAAGCAAGAAATTAAGTTGGATATCAAAGTATTGTATCCTGAATTCTATCTTAAGGCACAAGAAAAGTACTCAACGCAACAACACAAACGACGCAAATAAATACGGAGAAGTCCTAAAAATAATCACCGCTTCAATTACTAATTTCTTTTCCAGCGATCTATGACCTATATGCGTGATTAATCCTAAGCAAGAAGCAGCAAAGTAAAACACTAACCAGTAAAAATGCTACAAACACAATACAAGAGAGTGAGTGAAACAGAGATAAAATGAACGAAGAAGGAAAGAGATCATGCCTGTAGGACTTTGGGACCATGGATATACAAGGACTTCTTGGCTGCGGAGTGCTCGGGAAGCGATTTCCCTCCGAAAAACCTCAAATCCATATTCAGAAGCTCAGATTCGATTGAATCTGCCAGCAAGGATTGTAGTATATATATATATATATATATATATATAGTTCTAAAATATTTGCGGCGGTAAAGAAATATGAAATTTATCGTCTTAGTATTGTACGAAGATCCAGCACAAAAGCAAATAAAATAGAGAGAGCATAGCGTTCATTAGACACACTAGAGTTTTTACATGGAAACCGTTGAAAAGGGAGAAAATCACGAGCTCTGTTTGAATGAATCCACTATTATTTGAAGTCGATTACAAATGATGTCTTTCATTGGAGGGCAGGCATTAGCTTTATATAACATATATACATCATATAGAATGCTTTACTTGATAGAAAGTGGAAGAATTAGTATTAAAATATTCGTTTAGACGACAGAATCATAGTCGGCAAGTGACGGAGGTCGGAAAGACCGTAGTCTGGTGAAAGTGGTCGGAAGGACTGTTGTCCTGCAAGGGAGGTCGGAAGGACCGTAATCGACAGGAGCAATGGTTAGAAAGACTGTTGTCTTGTGAGGGAGGTTGGAAGGACCGAAATCGGTGGGTGACTATGGTCAGAAAAACAGTTGTCCGACGATGGAGATCATAAGAACCGTAGTAAGCGACTGAGGTTGGAATGACTGTAATAGGTTACGGAGATCAGAAGAACCGTAGTCGGTAGAAGACAGTGGTTAGAAAGATTATTGTTTGGCAATGGAGGTCAGAATGACTGTAGTAGATGACGGAGGTCGAAGGACCATAGTCGGCATGAGATAGGGGTCAGAAAGACCGTTATATGGCGATGGAGGTTAGAAGACCGTAGTAAGCGACGGAGGTTGGAAGAATATCATAGTAGTAAGGCGCTGGTCCGATGGAAGTCCGGACGTTATTAGGTGGTCTGGAAAAACTTCGACTTCTATCGGTGGTCTGACAAAAGTTTGGGCCTTAGTCGGTGGTCCGGCGGTGGTTTAGCAAAACTCCAGTGTCAGGCGGTGGTCTGACGGAACTCCACCATTAGGCGGTGGTTCGGTGAAAATCTGACATCGGGGGAGTGGATCGGTGTCAGGCGATGGTCTGATAGAAGTCTAGTGTGAGATGGTGGTTCAACAGAAGTCTGGCATCATATGGTGGTCCTTACAAAAGTCTTGCATCAGGCAGTGGTCCTGACGAAAGTCATGTGTCAGGCGGTGCTCCGACGGAACTCCAGTGTCAGGCGGTGGTCCGGCGGGTGATGGAGGTCGGAAAGACCGTAGTCTTGTATTAGTGGTTGGAAGGACCATTGTCTTGCGAGGGAGGTTGGAAGGACCGTAGTCGGTAGGAGACAGTGGTTAGAAAGACCATTGTCTAGCGAGGGAGGTCGGAAGGATAGTAGTGGGTGTGAGAATGTGGTTAGAAAGACCATTATCTATCAATGGAGTTCGGAAGGATCGTAGTAGGCGATGAAGGTCAGAAGGACCATAATCGATAGAAGAAAGGGGTCAAAAAGACTATTGTCTTGCGATGGAGGTCAGAAAGACCAAAGTAGGTGATGGAGGTCGGAAGGGCCATAGTCAGCAGAAGATAGGGGTCAGAAAGACAGTTATCTGACAATGGAGGTCAGAAGGACCGTAGTATGCGACGAAGATTGGAAGGACCATAGATGGAAAGAGACAGGGGTCAAAAAGATTATTATCTAGCAATGGAGATTGGAAAGACCGTAGTAGACGACGGAGGTTGGAAGGACTGTAGTCGGTGAGATATAAGGTCAAAAAGATTGTTATCTGGCGATGGAGGTCGGAAGGGCAGTAGTAGGCGATGGAGGTCAGAAGGACTGTAGCCAGTAGGAGATAGGGGCCAGAAAGACCATTTTATGGCGATGGAGGTTGGAAGGATCATAGTAGAAGATAGAGGTCAGAAGGATCATAATTAGTAGGAGATAAGGGTCAAAAAGGCTATTGTCTGGCAATGGAGGTCGGAAGGACCGTAGTAGGCGACGGATAATGGAAGGACCAAAGTTAGTAGAAGATAGGGGTTAGAAAGACCATAGTAGTAAGGTAGTTGTCCAGTGGAAGTTTGGGCATTATTCACTGGTCTGGTGAAACTTTGACTTATGTCGATGGTACGACAAAAGTTTGGGCCTCAATCAGTGGTCTAGTTGTGTTTTGGCAGAACTCCGACGTCAAGTAATGGTCCGATAGAACTTCAATGTTAGGCGGTGGTCCATCAGAACTCTGACATCGGGCTGTGGTCTGGCAAAAGTCCGATGTCTGGTGGTAGTCCTAATGGAAGTTCAGTGTTAGACGGTGGTCCAGCATAAGTCTGGCTATGCAGTTATCCTAACGGAAGTTCGGCATCATGCGATGATCTGGAAGAATTCCAGCATCGAGAAGTGGTCTGACAAAACTCGAATGTCATGTGGTGGTCTTGACAAAAGTTTGGTGTTAGGCGGTGGTTCGGCTGAACTCCGGCGTCGGGCAATGGTTCGGCAGAACTCCGACGTTAGTTGGTGGTTCGACGGAACTCCGGCATCATACGGTGTTCTTGATGGAAGTTTGGTGTCAGGCGATGGTCCGGCTAAACTCCTACGCTAAGTGGAGGTCTGATAGGACTCTGACATCAGGCGGTGGTACAGCAGAAGTTCGATGTCAGGTGGTGGTCCTAACGGAAGTCTAGTGTCAGATGGTTGTCTGGCAGAACTCTGGCATCAGAAGGTGGTCCGGTAAAACTCCAGCATCATGTGGTGATCCGGCAGAGCTTTGGCGTCGGGTGGTGGTCCGATAAAAGTCTGGGTGGTGGTTGAGGAGGGAAGAGCAATCTCCAATCTCTCTCTTGATTCCTTGCTTGGGTCATTCTTTCATGAGAAGTAGGGGTCCTATTTGTAGATTTTCTAGAGTGGCATAACTTGTAAATAGGTGGAAGATCAAGGGTAAGTTGAGAGTGGTTTGGATGGACGATCGATATTGAATCTCTTAATCATGAATTATTTACTGGGCATTTGAATGTCTTAATAATATCACAATTTTGAGATCTTGGGCTTATTGGATTCATCTCGTTGAGCCACTCGATTCGACTAAAATGATGTCATATTTGGAAACCATTTGGTAATCCAAGTTATGGTTTGAAACTTATAAAAGCGCTTTGGGTCCTTGATTTGGACTCAAATTGACTTGTATTTGGTGTCGTTGGGTTTGTATTTTTGAGATGTTTAATTTGACCATAAGTTTGTTGAAGTCGGAGTTCAGATGGTCCCAATTTTAATTTTGAAAGTTTCTAACTTGATTTTGCCTCGAGATTCGTGCCTGATCAAGAAATTTTTTTAATGATGTATCAGTTGACTCCCTATTTTCAAACATCAAATCCTGTAGAGTCCAAAAATATATGTTCCAACTTTCTGGGAATTTTTGATGTGATAGGAAAATTAAAAAATAATCTAATCATGGGCGTAGATGGCCCGAATAACTTTAAAAGTGCAAAAATTGAGTCTAAAATATCAAAAAATGATCCTGATGACCCCAAAAGCATTTGATTTTTCCTTTTGGGCCAAAAAATGGGTCCGGATGCATATTGGCCTACCTGGCCTTCTAGCTTACCCATCGTGTCCCTGGCCCGATTAGGAGACCTACCTCGGTCAAACCTATGGTCAGTTCGGGGCTCTTTGGCCTGCCCAAGTTCATGAATATGGGTCAATAGTGGAGTAGTTGGTTGGGTTGAACCATGGCCCATTATTAGAGTAGTGGGAAGGTGGGAGTTATAGGCCATTAGTGGAGTAGTGGGAATGTGGGTCATTAGTGGAGTAGTGGGAAGGTGCCATTAGTGGAGTAGTAGGAAGGTGTCATTAGTGGAGTAGTGAGGAGGGAGTTATGGGCTATTAGTGGGGTAGTGGGAATGTGTCATTAGTGGTAGCGGGAAGTTTCCATTAGTGGAGTAATGGGAAGGTGGAAGTTATGGGCCATTAGTGGAGTAGTGGGAAAGTGGGAGTTATGGACCATTCATAGAGTAGTAGAAAAGTGGGGTTCAAATTATAATAAAATTATATTTTTTTACAACTTTTCTAACTTCTTTATCCTCTCTATTTTCACTATAAATACCCCCTTAGGGGTATGAAAATATTTTGCCCCTCCTCCTTTTCTCTTATACTCCTTAGGTTTACGCCTTTCCCTAATCCTGTTCAGGCAGTATCCCCTGTTCAAGGTTAGGGTCCCTCACTGAGTAAGAGTCTCCTCCTCTTTTCCTCTTTTCTTCCCTTCTTTTTCTTAGGCTGCCCTATTCAGGTGGTATCCCTTTTACAGGTTTAGGGCCCCTCATTGAGGAGTATCCTCCTCATTTCTTCTTATCTTTCCTTCTTCTCCTCAGGTTGAGGCCTTCCCCTAGTCCTTTTTAGGAGGTACCTCCTATCCAGGTCTAGGGACCCTCACTAGTAGGAGTCTCATCCTCCTTTCCTTATCTCTCCCATTCAGTCCTCTTCCTATACGGGAGGCATTTCCATAACTTTAGATAAGTGGTGTCCCTTATCTAACTGCAGTGCCCCTCCCTATATAAAGGTCATAATAGGGGATCACCCTTCTTCAAGAGATCCAATGACCAAGAGAGATTCACATTCATGGTTAGTTGGAAATGGAGGATGGAAAGACCGTTGTTAAGGGATGGAGGTCAGAAAGGCCATATTTTAATGTCGGGTAAAAGTCCGACGAAAGTTCAACGATGGACATAAGTCTAATGACAGGTAGAAGTCCTGCAATGGATAGAAGCTCGACCACGGGCTAAAGTTTAACATTAGGTAGAAGTCCAAAGAAAGTTCGACGACGGGCATAAGTCCAGCAATAGTCCGATGATGGGTGGAAGTCCTGTAATGGACAAAAGTCCGACCAGGGGCCAAGTTTGATGTCGGGTAGAAGTCTGATGAATGTTTGGTGTTGGGCAGAAGTCTGATGACAAATGAAATTTTTATTATCATCATCAGTGGTCAATAGCCGGGTGAAGAGCTGAACGGGAGAGTGTGCTCACAATAGTAATCAAGCAAGGGGCCACTAATATCTTATATGGCAAAGGAACATTAATTGTTA